TTTTTTTTCTTTTCTTTGTTTACTTCTTGACCAAACTGCGTTCGGAGGTTGTGCAATTTCCTTTTGACCTCTTCTTCGGGTGCGTCTATATCATTGGCTATTGCCTTTAAAGCATTTTGTTTGCATTTTGTAGTCTTTTGAGGACGTGTCCCATACTTCAGGATAACTTTCTTGTTTTTCAATTACCAAATGTGTTTTTTCACTACTCCAAACGAATTTATTTTTGTCCATTTTTATAAATTTTGAAAAGAACTCAAAAAAAAAAACAAAACAAAACTGAAAACAGAAGAGAATACCACAAACCGTTTACTCACGTATACCCGACTTCTTCTGCAAGTCTTCAAAACACTTGTAGTTCACAGCAAGTTGTTCAAGTTACTTCCAGCAAGCAACAAACACGTGTTTCCACATAATTTCTGCAAGTAACTTCTGCAAGCCGTGACTTCTGGAAGTCGACTTCTAATACGTGTTTACACGACAAAAACTTCTGGAAGTCACTTCTGGAAGCAACTTCCGCAAGAAAGCTTGGTAGTGGACACAGGGCTTTATGATAACTCTGAGTTTTCAGCCGTCTTCAGACGCACGGCTTAACCCGAATGTTTCTAGTTCTAGGTCTAGTGTTAGTTCTAGTTTTAATTGTTGTACAGCACTTGATTATTGTACATTTTTATTGAACTAAAAGTGTATGTAGAACTAAAACACTATACCTAGAACCGCACGTCTCTAAAGACGGCTAAACCCAAATGATTCTAGTTCTAGTTATAGTGTTAGTTCTATATCTAAAACTAGAATCATTCGAGTTTAGCCGTCTTTAGAGACGTGCGGCTAAACCCGAATGATTCTAGTTGTTGGTCTAGTGTTAGTTCTACTTTTAGTTCTCTAGATCTAAATAGAAACGTGGAATTATTAAAATTATGCCACGGCAGAATAGAAACTATCGCTTACATGGGTGACAGAGCGATAGAAATAGTAGAAAACAATTTCAAAAAAATTTCTGGGTATGCATCTAGTCAGCGAAATGACGTGGGAAGTGCACTTGAAGCATCTGAGGACTAGGCTGGCTTCTGCTATCTTCACAATACGAAGACTAAAACAAGTAGCCACTCACCAGGCACCAGGTGTTCTTTTCTGGGGTAGGGCATCTGATTTCCTGAGTATCTTCCGACTACAAAAGAGGGCAGTACAGGTGCTGTACTTTAAATATGAGAATATATTTACCTTACTAAACATATATATACTTACGGCATTGCTGCATGTTCATGATAACAGAGACAGTTTTCCTTCTAATGGTGGTACCCATAGCTATCTGACAAGATCACGACACCAATACCAGGTACCGTACCACAGAATTGCATCAACGCAAAAGTATGTGGATTACTGGGGTCCAAAACTCTACAACGAACTACCACCGCAGCTGACTGCGCTGTCTAGGCAACGGTTTAAGAGGAAAATAAAAGAATGTTTGATGGAGAACGTTTTCTATTCGTGCTCATCTTTGTAATTTATTCCTTCCTCCATGTTGATATTATTTGTTTGGCTCCAATCTAGTCTTATTTTGCTTAACCAGTCACGACCTAAGATTGTATCAACATCTTATTTCAAGATATAAAGTGTTCCTCTTGTAATTTGGTCTCGGTAATTTATTTGTACTTCACACTTGCCTAAAGGTTTTATAATCTCTCCTGTATAAGTTTTAAGTCGAACTATCGTTTCAACCAAATCTATATCTGTACCTGTGCACAGATTCTTCTAAATTTTATAATTGACATAGTCGATAATGCAGCTCCTGTATCTAGCTCCATATGGCATAATTTATCTTCAAGTTTTAATTGTACTATATATTTCTTAGAGTGATTTGAATTTGCAATTTTAACAAGTGATCAGTTTTCGTATCGTGGCTGAGCTGGTCTTTTTGCTATTTTAGACCTCGACATTTGCTCTTCGCTTCTTTCATTGCTACAGTTTGTTCATCTATCTGTGACGTTTCTTCGGCTGCCACTATTATAGAATTGTTGTAGGCGTCCCAAGTCTCTTCCATGCCTCTTCTTTTTAAGCATTCAATATTTTCTCTTTTTCTCCTTCCTTATTTTAGAACTCTTGAAGCATTCGAGGGTCTTTCCTTAGGAGTTTTATATTGAATGTGGATCTCCTAAATGCGATCTGTTGTTTTAATAAGGCTGATATTAAAATATCACAAGTTTATGATGTAAATGTTTATTTTTAAGGATTTAATATCTTTTGTACCCAGCTCTATATTATACATATTATACAATTTATAATTTAAAAAAATTGTGCGGCACCTCTTGACTGAAAGTTGTAGCTCCACCATTTCCTTCAACATTTTTGTATTAACAACAGGGACTTCCCTCGCCTATCTAAATTGCAACACGTACTTTTCCCTTTTATTTGTAATGCATTACTTATTGTTAGTGTGCCTTTAGTCGAGTAATCTCACCAGTTATAATCGCATTGTTTAAACCTTCGTCTCGATTTTTTTAAGACAAAAATGTTGTAAGTCACAAATCTTAACACCTTTTATTTTATTTTTAGTTTCCATTTAATCATTTTCCTTATTTTTGTAGATCTTTTCAAGACGTTGTAATGAGGTATATTCCAGAACAATTCGAATCGACAATGAATACGCGTTTAATACAACTATCCAAAACCGATTCTGTCTACGAAAGCATAGTTTGGAAACATCTTAGTGTACATCAAAAACGAACCGTAACGAGAATCGAAAAAGTATGGTGTCCATCACTTTACGGGTGGTATTTAATGAAAAAAGCCGAATATCAAAGTCGTGGTTTTAGACATTGCGAGAAAAGGTTGCTGCATGTGACCGGAGCTAGTAACGTTAAGTCGATTTTGCGTTCGAATTTGAATTGGAGGCGAGTGACTCGTTATAGATTTGGAAGAGGTGTTAGTTTTTCTGATGATGCAGACTACGCGGATACCTATGCAGCTAGGGCGATTGGTTCACAGCGTGCAATGATTATAGCTGATGTTTTGGTGGGGAATACTGCAAAAGGGGGATCTTACACCGATTTTCTACCTGAAGGTATTGATACTGCCACTGGAAATGGTCGCGTATACGTCAAATTTCATGATGATGAATTTATACCAAAATACATTGTTTATTACACTCACTGATTTAATTATTAATTTTCATTTAGCTTTCTTTTGCCATTGTTTCTTAATTTTAAAGTAGTATTAATCGAAAGTTTATTAATTAGTTTAGGTTTTTGTTCTGTACTGTTTATTTTGTTTCAATCAAAGATTTCAATAAAACTTATGCGAAGTTCTCAATATTTCTTGACCCGAATTAGATTACTATTTAAATGTATGGTATTTTGACTAACCATTTGTGTCCCGATGGGACTTTAAAGTACCGGTAGTTTTAAACACTCATTTTAAATCGTTTTAAAAAGAAATCATTGAGCTTTAATTTCAAATAAATCTCATTCCTTAATTTCAATAAATACGGCTTCCAGAAATTTTTAAATTAGAATCTTTTTTGACACTTTTAGGTTATACGAAAATATAAGTTTTATTTCAATATTTTTTTCTGACTATTTTTCCAATCCTACCCAACAATTATTATACATCATTTTAAAAAGAAATCTTTCAATTTTAATTTAAAATAAGTGTCATTCCTTAATTTCAGTAAATACGGCTTCCAGGAATTTTTAATTTATCGTTTCTTTTGACACTTTTAGGTTATACGAAAATGTCAGTTTTGTTTCAACATTTTTTTTCTCAATATTTTTCCAATCCAACCCAACAATTATTATATATCATTCTAAAGAGAAAGCTTTGAGCTTTAATTTAAAATAAGTCTCATTCCTTAATTTCAATAAATACGGCTTCCAGGAATTTTTAATTTATCGTCTCTTTTGACACTTTTAGGTTATACGAAAATGTAAGTTTTGTTTCAACATTTTTTTTCTCAATATTTTTCCAATCTAACCCAACAATTATTATATATAATTCTAAAGAGAAAGCTTTGAACTTTAATTTAAAATAAGTTTCATTCTTTAGTTTCAATAAATACGGCTTCCAGAAATTTTTAAATTACCATCTTTTTTGACACTTGTGTTACATATTTTCTAACGTAATAAAAAATGTTTTATTTTTATATTAGCAATAGAAGTTTTTGTATACTGCAACATCACTAAAATATATTTTAATGCTTGACGGTACTTTCAAGTACCATTACCCTGGAATGGGGGGATTGCATATTTTACTACAATTGATTCCAAAGACCTTTACTGAGGACTCCTTGGGACACAAAGGGTTAAGAATATTCTTAAGAATAAAGTTTATTACAACTTTTTTCTAAAATATTCATACTATAATTTTAAAATACTGTTTTTTATAACTAAAAATATTTTCGCTGTTAATTCAGAGATGGCATTTTGTCCTAAACAAAAACTTGTTTCTTTTTACAACACGTTTTCTCGCCATACTTTCATAAAATTTTATCAAACTTATTCAACAATAATTAATAATGGCCATAGTTGTAGCGTGGGTTCAAAATTGGGTGGTTTTAGCCATCTCTTTATCAGCTTTATTAGCATTAATGGGTTTTTTAGCATTTTGCATTTGGTAAGATCATCAAAATCCATTTTTTATCCTTCTTTTAATTTTTAATTCTTGCAGTTTAGGTTATAATAAAAAACGATTTCAAAACATTTACATTTTGAACAAAACCTTATCGGTTTTTAGTATAACACGTTCAAAAAATGGTTATATGCAACCGAAAAATGATACTCATCGCGTTGAAGACGTTCGAAGAATTTCAAGAGCGCTTGAACCAGAAGAGTAAGTTAAACGATAAGTAGATTATTGTGTGTTTTGGTTAATATTAATTGATTTAGGGTTGATACACGTAGCTTTGATCAACTTCAATTGGTGATTGAAGATGCGAATGTTGATACTGTTTCTTGTATAAGCGAACAATCTTTACAATCGTTTTTATCGGTACAAAATTAATTAAGAAAGTCGTAATTAAATATTGATGGTGTTTTTAATTTGTTTTTTTTAGTAAAGTGTATTTTATAATTAATTTCTTTCTTTTATTTTTATCTTTACAAGTTATACAATTTAATACCATTATATATGTGGTCTCCCTAATATATATTTCCCATCACAATTGTCTTCTGTACCATTAAGCGAAAATCCATGCAGTTCTTTAGTTTGTTAGTTTTTGTATTAATTTGTTTTTAGCATCATCACTTAAAATTCTTTTTAAACAATCCTTTAATATTGAACTTTAGCGAATTTTTAAGTTTCAAGATCTTTTTTATTGAGAAATTGAAAACTAAACACATGGTGTAATAATAATCATAACATTTATTATTTATAATTATTATAAAAAATATTTTTTTAATAAAAAACACATAAAAATATGTCTTCTTTTCGTTAAATAAATATAAACTCCCATTTCATTAAACCAAACTCACTAATTATTTATTATTTATAAATTTTGTAAATGGTGAAAACGACTGCGAAGATCTTCTATTTAGACGAGATAAGGCATCAACATAAGTATCTTCAACCTCCAATTGTAATGAATAAACGGTACGTGAATCAACCCTGAATTAAAACTATAATAATTATAAATCAAATGTATTTATTGACTTACTCGTATGAATCAAGAGCTAGATCATCTCCATTATCGATGTTTGCGAGTTGGATGAAATCTGTATCCGGATTAGTTGTATCAAAATTCGACAAAGTGTTATTGCTTAATAAATTGATTGCTGAAACTGCTAAATTTTGCACCCAAGACACGATTACAGCCATAATAAAATCGATATTGAACTTTATAAAGTTATCTGAAAACTTGAGAAAACGTGGTGGAATAAGAACAAGTTTTGGGAATTAAAAAACTCCCAAAAATATTTCCATCTATAAACCAAAAGCGAAAACTTTTAAATTAGGATTCTATAAACATTTAAATATAAATATTGCTTTAAATTGAATGATGAATATTAGTGGTGGAACGGATATCTGGCAAATTACCAAATCTCCGGCGTTAGCCGGATATTAAAAATATATTATTTAGTACCCCACCATTCACAGGAATTAGTATCTCTTGGACACTGTAGATAATAATCAAATTCAACCCTAATAGAATTTTCATTGAATACAACTTTATTTATATCAGGTTTGTTATTAGCAACCTCATTGTAACAATACCAATACTATATATAAAATGTCTTGTGCAGTTTCGTCTAGTTTTCTTCTCTTCGCTTGTAATTCATCATCACATTCATTACTAACAAAACTGTCGCTGTTAACACTTTCGATTATTAATTAAAGTTTCCTCTTTTTAATGCAAAAAGCCGTTTTGAAAAATCACTTTCAGTTCTTGAGAAATAAATTTTTGAAATAAACGACAATTTTTTCGAATTTTGCAATTTTCTCCGATTAAGTTTTAAAAATTCGTATAAAATCGATTTCTTGGAATATGAGTATGAAAATTTCCCAAAGTGTTAATAAAAGTGTCCTCTTTCCAATGAACCAACCCGTTTTGAAAAATAACTTTTAGTTTTTGAGAAAACAATATTTGAAGTTTTGATAAAATTTTCGATGTTGCAATTTTCATCGATAACTTTCAAAATTTACTATAAAATTCATTTCTTGAAGGATCCTTGTGGAAATATCGCCAATTATTAATTAAAGTATCCTCTTTTTAATGTAAAAAAGCCGTTTTGAGAAATCGCTTTTAGTTTTTGAGAAACAAATTTTTGAAATGATCGACAATTTATTCGAATTTTGCAATTTTTTGGCCAATTAAGTTTTAAAAATTCGTATAAAATCGATTTCTTGGAATATGAGTATGAAACTTTCCCAAAGTATTAATAAAAGTGTCCTCTTTCCAATGAACCAACACGTTTTGAAAAATAACTTTTAGTTTTTGAGAAAACTACATTTGAAATGCAGTTCTTGGAGTATGAGTATGACAAAAAGTAGAAACGATGGAAAAGTCTGTTATGGACAAAAAATGTTTCTTATTAATCCAAAAACTTAATTGATAATGCATTTTATCCCACCGAGGGTTATTTCAAACTTGGAAGCTTTAGAGTATCAAAATAACCAAATTTGACGTTTTCAACAACAAAATTAGTTATAACTCAAAACCCGGTCTAAAAGAGGAAATAAAAAAATTTGTTTAACTGCAAGAAGATGTCAAAGTTATTGCTAGTTTCAAAGAAAATTTGTCTTCGATTGAAGTCCCAAATAATCCTATAAAAAAGGAGGTTGAAGATCTTGTTGTAGTAAGTAGAGAACTTCTTGAAAAATAACTGAAACCAATAAAAATTTATTTTTTGTACAATGACTTTGTGTTTTAAGTAAAATTTCAGCAAATTTATTAGGAAATTCTTCAATTTCCGATTCTCTCAACTCAATTTCTTCGTATCGATCAAAATTGCTACATATCTTCGGAATCAACAACTTTAGGTTTAAAATTTGGTTTAACTTTTTTGTATAAAATTGCGTCACAATCTATTGATTTAAACCAAATTTGATGTTTTCAACAACAAAATTAGTTATAATTCGAAAAGTAGAAACGATGGAAAAGTCTGTTATGGACAAAAAATGTTTCTTATTAATTCAAAAAACTTAATTGATAATGCATTTTATCCCACCGTGGGTTATTTCAAACTTGGAAGCTTCAGAGTTTCAAAATAACCAAATTTGATATTTTCAACAACAAAATTAGTTATAATTCGAAAAGTAGAAACGATGGAAAAGTCTGTTATGAGCAAAAAATGTTTCTTATTAAATCAAAAAACTTAATTGATAATACATTTTATCCCACCGTGGGTTATTTCAAACTTGGAAGCTTTAGAGTATCAAAATAACCAAATTTGACGTTTTCAACAACAAAATTAGTTATAATTCGAAAAATAGAAACGATGGAAAAGTCTGTTATGGGCAAAAAGTGTTTCTTATTAATTCAAAAAACTTAATTGATAATGCATTTTATCCCACCGTGGGTTATTTCAAACTTGGAAGCTTTAGAGTATCAAAATAACCAAATTTGACGTTTTCAACAACAAAATTAATTATAATTCGAAAAATAGAAACGATGGAAAAGTCTGTTATGGGCAAAAAGTGTGTCTTATTAATTCAAAAAACTTAATTGATAATGCATTTTATCCCACAGAGGGTTATTTCAAACTTGGGAGCTTTAGAGTATCATAATAAGCAAATTTGACGTTTTCAACAACAAAATTAGTTATAATTCGAAAAGTAGAAACGATGGAAAGTTTGTTATGGGCAAAAAATGTTTCTTATTAATTTAAAAAACTTAATTGTTAATGCATTTTATCCCATCGTGGGTTATTTCAATCTTGGAAGCTTTAGAGTATCAAAATAACCAAATTTGACGTTTTCAACAACAAAATGAGTTATAAATCGAAAAGTAGAGACGATGGAAAAGTCTGTTATGGGCAAAAAATGTTTCTTATTAATTCAAAAAACTTAATTGATAATGCATTTTATCCCACCGTGGGATATTTCAAACTTGGAAGCTTTAGAGTATCAAAATAACCAAATTTGTCGTTTTCAACAACAAAATTAGTTATAATTCGAAAAGTAGAAACGATGGAAAAGTCTGTTATGGGCAAAAAATGTTTCTTATTAATTCAAAAAACTTAATTGATAATGCATTTTATCCCACCGTGGGTTATTTCAATCTTGGAAGCTTTAGAGTATCAAAATAAGCAAATTTGACGTTTTCAATAACAAAATTAGTTATAACTCAAGAAGTAGAAACAATAGAAAGGTCTGTGGTGGACAAAAAATGTTTCTTATTAATCCAAAATACTTAACTGATAATGCATTTTATTTCAAAGTGAATTATTTCGAACTTGGAAACTTTAGAGTGTGAGAAAAATGTCCATTTCAGCATTCAAAAAAATGAAGGAGGGCTTAATAAGTCTCGATTATCCAGGAAGAAACTCCATGACACCTGAAGATGATATCCTTAATATCATAGCCCCAAGGAATCGGATAACATTTTTAAAATGGATCTTTATGATACTAGATTCAGAAGTTTTAGTGAAGAAAAAATTATTAAAGAATTACTACCTGATTTCATGAAATGTTATGGATTTTGTACTGAAGAAGAAATAACACCATTTATTAATGGTACTTCCAATTTTGAATCACAGGTGAATGAAAAAAAGTCGCAATTTCTTAAATAAAAATTATTTCTTTTTTGTTTCAGATTGAAATCATTCAAAGATCTATCCGTTTTACAGTATTATGTGGTTCGTGCCCTCCAGTGTGTGGGAGGGCACGAACCTTGCTCATAAAGATATAAATTCGATATTAAGACAGATGAAGCTTTCCCAAACCTTAAAGATATAGAAAACACTTAAAAAAAAAAATGTCGCTTTATAGAAGGAGTTGGAAAAAACCAAACCGATTGATTTACCTTTAGAAGAAGTTAAAAACCCAGATCCAGATGAATTAGGAAAAAATCTGTATGAATTTAGAAATCAATAATCGGTTTGGTTTTTTCTAACTCTTCAAACTCCTTCAATAAAGGTGCATTTTCTTTTTGAAGGGATTCCTCATCCAATTTTGTATCATCATCAATGTTTTCTACCTCTTGAAGATTCGGGAAAGCTTCATCAATCTATCTTAATATTGAAGTTATATCTTTATGAGGAGGTGGCGAGGTTCGCGCCCTCCCACGTACACATTATACAGTAAAACGGGTAGATATTTGAATGATTTCAACCTGAAACAAAAAAAAAATTTTATTTAAGAAATTGCGACTTTTCTTCATTAACCTGCGATTCAAAATCGAGAGTACCATCACTAAATGGTGTTATTTCTTCTTTAATACAAAATCCATAACATTCCATGAAATCAGGTAGTAATTCTTTAATAATCTCTTCTTCACTAAGATTAATAAAAACTTCCGAATCTAGTATCATAAAGATCCATTTTAAAAATGTTATCCGATTCTTTGGGTCAATAATATTAAGGATATCATCTTCAGTTGGCATGGAATTTATTCCTGGATAATTGAGACTTATTAAGCCCTCCTTAATTTTATTGAATGCCGAAATGGACATGTTTCTCACACGTTTTTTTGCCCTTGTAACACCATGGCGACACCTTGTAAGAACTAAAGCTTAACCTCATTAACCTATTGACCTTGACGGATATGAATAAAGAAGTCACTCCATCTCTTCGTAGGTTCTGTAAGCTGTAATGTTTCGTTTTAACTTAACGTATTCTTTTAAAATTTATTATTTTTTTAAAAATCAGTAGTAAATCATAATAGTAATAATTTATTATCTTTAATTTCTTTTTTAGAAACAGTAATATTTGTTATATAAATAAACCGAATGTAGTTGGACCACCGTATAATAGAGGGCGCTACTCTTAATAAAAAATTTTACATAAAATGATATAGAAAAATATAAATAATTATAAAAAAATGATAAGTAATTATTTAAGGAAAACCTTAACGGATTGATTTTCAAAAATTTCCTTTTTCGGTTTATCTGTAATCGAAGCGCATTTAATTTGAAATTGATCCATTTTTTTTTGTAATTCATCCAGATTTGGTTCTTTAATTCCTTCTAACGCTAAATCAATCAGTTTGGTGTTTTCTAATTCTTCCAACTCCTTCAATAAAATCGCATTTTCTTTTTTAAGAGATTCCCCCAATTCCGTAAAATCTTCCGTAACATATTGAAGGTTTGGGAAAACTTGATCTATTTGTTTTAATATCGAATTTAAATCTTTATGCGGACGTGGTGTGGTATCCTGGTTCGAGGATTTACACAATATAAGAAAATTTAAAATTCTTTCAATGATTTTAAACTAAAATCAGAAAAATTAATTTTTATTTAACAAACTACGACTTTTTTTCATTAACCTGTGATTCAACATCGAGACTACCATCGATAAATTTTGTTGTTTCTTCATCTGGACAAAATCCATGGTTTTCAATTAATTCAGGTAATTCTTTAATAATATTTTCTTCGTCAAGATTAATAAAAACTTGAGAATCCAATTTGACAAAAACCCATTTTAAAAATGTTTTTCGATTCTCTGGGCCTATTATATTAAGGATATCTTTTTCAATTTTCATCGAATTTATCCCTGGATAATCGAGAGTTATTAAACTCTCCTTAATTTCTCCTAAATCACACATTTACTTTTTCTTACAGTTTGACTTTGACAGATGTTTAAATAATATCTCCATCTTTCGGTGGATTCTGTAAGCTTAATAATATTTAGCTTTCCTTAATATTTATTAATTTTTTTTGCAATCGATAATAAATCATCTAATATATTTTTCTTCTTAAAGCGCCATGCAGTAATTAATTATTGATAATTTTTGAAGACATATTTTTTGTGAAACAAGTAATAAAGTAGTAACACCACAATTACAATAGAGGGCGCTAATTAATAATATTATTTAAAGTATATTATTATTGGACTTTAATATTATTATAAATAAAACATGAGGGATAAAAAGGACCGAGAGATGTTAAAGCACACGATTGGTTTAAATCAATAGATTGAGACGCAATTTTATACAAAAAAGCACCAATTTTGATCAGTACGAAGAAATTGAGTTGGGAGAATTGGAAATTGAAGAATTTCTTAACGAATTTGCTGAAATTTTACTTAAAACACAAAGTCATTGTACAAAAAATAAATTTTTATTGGTTTCAGTTATTTTTCAAGAAGTTCTCTACTTACTACAACATGATCTTCAACCTCCTTTTTTATAGGATTATTTCGGACTTCAATCGCAGACAAATTTTCTTTGAAACTAGCAATAACTTTGACATCTTCTTGCAGTTCAACAAATTTTTTTATATCCTCTTTTAGACCGGGAGAAACCTTTGAGTTATACTTATAACTAATTTTAGTATTGAAAACGCCAAATTTGATTATTTTGATACTCTAAAGTTTCCAAGTTTGAAATATCGCCAATTATTAATTAAAGTATCCTTTTTTTAATGCAACAAGCTGTTTTGAAAAATTGCTTTTAGTTCTTGAGAAATAAATTTTTGAAATGATCGACAATTTTTTCGAATTTTGCAATTTTTGCCAATTAAGTTTTAAAAATTCGTATAAAATCCATTTCTTGGAATATGAGTACGAAAATTTCCCAAAGTGCCAATAAAAGTGTCCTCTTTCCAATGAACCAACCCGTTTTGAAAAATAATATATTCTCGAAAAAGTTGTGTG